ATGTAAGCCTCTAATTTAAACCGTTACCAGCTGCTGTGTCTCCAGCCCAGCAGTCTGCAGAAGGGGAGGCTGAAAGCCGAGTTCACAGATTCTCAAGTCCTGTTTCAAGCCTCCCGGCTGTCTGAGGCACTTGGAGAACGCCTGGGTAGAGGCTGGGCCATCTGGGAGACTGAGCTTCACAGATACATCCTTGATATTTGGTTTGGTCAGGCAAGGGAACCTGTCATCTTCCACTCCAGATAAAAGCACACAGTCAGACAATAACCAGCTTGTGGTGTCTTTATGGAGTGTCCTGCAGCCCAGAGGAGACTCCTCTTTGGAACCACTCTCCTGTGGGGATGGCATTTTTTCCCCTCTTGCAAGACTTGTTTCTCCGTGGGTTTGGCTAGAAAAGGAACAGCTAAAAATGTTCTGCTCAGCTGGAAAGAGAGGCCTGGAGCTGGGAGGACTGGAAGGAAACCTGATTGCACCAGGAGAGGGGATTAATTCTGGGGGAAGGGTGTCCCTGTTTCTCTTGCTGCCTCCAGCGCTTCATCAGAGATTTCTCTGTAAATGACAAAAAAGATGGTAAATGGAAGCAGATTTGTGTGCTGACACCTGCCAGTGCTGGGACTGGAGACCCAGAGTCCTAGGAATATGCTCATGGGACCTGGCTGTCCCGGGGCACTTTGGGCAGCTGTTCTGGCCTAATGGAACTCATTAGCACGGTTCTTAATGACTTGTATGGTGGCAGCAGTGTCCAGAGGCTCCAGCCACATTTGCACAAAGCTGACTATGAGGAATGGCACTCGCAGCGTGGGGCAGCTCTGAGGAGCCGCCGTGGTCAGCAAATGACTTGCAGCAGTTCTTTGGAAAGGCTTGTAGGAACCCATCCAGCTCTTGGAACACTGCACAGGGCAGGATGGGAAGCAAGGATGGAACGTCGGTCTGCAGTGAGGGCCAGCAGGTCTGGTGCTTCTTGAGGGAACAGCCAGCACCTCTGCTGTGGAAATTGGTGGAGACACCTGGAGAAGAGAAGGCTTCAGGGACACCTTAGAGCCCCTTGCAGTGCCCAGGTGGGCTCCAAGAGAGCTGGAGAGGGACTTTAGACAAGGGTCTGAAGTGACAGAACAAAGGGGAATGGTTCCCAATAAGAGCAGGCCAAGTTAGATTGGATTTTGGGAAGAAATTATTTGCTGTGAGGATGATGAGACCCCAGATCTCTGGTTGTCCAGAGAAGCTGTGGCTGCCCCGTTACTGGAAGTGTTCAAGATTGGATGGGGCCTGAGGCAACTTGGTCTAGTAGAAGATATCCCTGTCTGTGGCTGGGGGTTGGAATGAAAGGAGCTTTGAGGTCCCCTCCTACTCAAACAATTCTGGGATTCTCTGCAGGGGTCTCTGTCTTCCTGCCATAGGCTGCCTCACTGGCTGGTCCTGGGGGCTTTCTTTCCCACATGCCATGTGTCAGGTTACCCCATGTTTCCATGCTCAGCATTTCTTCAGTTCTCTCCAGTGCCAGTCTCATCTGCTTCTCTGCCTTTTCTCTCTCCAGAGGTCGGAGTGGGGGAATGATTGTGGATCCTCTCCGCTCTGGCATCCCGCATCCTGGCATTGATCCATCATCAGGCATCCCAGGCCGGCTTCCCCCAGGAGCTGTTCCCCCAGGCGCCAGATTTGACCCCTTTGGCCCCTTAGGAGTTGGGCGATCCGGGTAGGTCCTTGTCTATGCTGGTATTCCAGCCTGCTTCCAGCCTGCCACTGGATCCCTGCTCATCCCTGTTGCTGCAGGCCTGAGCTCTCACTTCTGTTTGACTCTGCTCTGAATTTCTTTCCAGGCCAGATCCTGACCACCTTCCCCCTCCAGGCTACGATGACATGTTCATGTGAGGAGTCACCATGTGGCTGCTCGTGAACAAGTTTTCTGGGAAGCAGGGGCACTTTGCCTCTTCACTCCTCATCTGATGGACATGATCTTTCCAGCAGCGTTTTCCTTCTCCATTTTGGGCCACATGTCCTTGTGTCCCATCAGCTATAAAGGCTTCCCTGTTTGCAGAATGGAAGAGGAGGCAGTAGTAGGTCATTTCTTTCTCTGCTCCTCTGAGGGTGCCCGGCTGTTTGCATCCAGCAAGGTGGGAGTGTGGGGTGTGGCTCTCTGGGAACAGCCTGGGTGCTGTGGAATTTCTCTGCTTCTCTGGGGTGCTGCTGGGGTCCCACAAGTGGTGGGTGTGAGAAGGGAGCTGCCTCCTTGCTACTCCTCTGCAGGAAACCACAGCAACCTCCTGAAGGGGTCAGCTGGAGTGGGCTCCCCACAGAGTGGGGAGCTCTGTATCTGAGCAAGGCACTTACTAAAGGGCTGGAAAGCCCAACCCACAGGGTCTCCATGGGCAGACCCCCAGCAGCAGCTGGGATTATGGCTGTGCCTGCTGGCTTTGAATAGCAGCACCAGAAAAGCCTTTGATGTGCATGAGAAGAGACATAGATTGAATTCCTGGCTCACCTTGCCCCCTCTCTTCACTGAAGCCCTGGTGTTTTTCATTCCTGGGGTGTCTGTGGAGCCCTCCAGGCAGTGTGGTGAGGGAGGCCCACTGCGCACTGCTCATGGATCTGGAGTAAGAGGGAGGGAGCTGTGTAAAAGAGGTTTCTCAAACATTTTCCTACTGCCAGTCTTGTTGTGTGTGGCTCTGCCTTGGTGGCTTGGGGAGAATGGGTGAGATCTGCTTGGCTCAGGCTCCTGAGCTTTCTAGAACCCTCCCTTCCCTACAGATTCTCCAGCTCAGTTGATTTGGGCCTGCAGCTCATCTCTCCTGTCAGCAGCTCAAACTATTTTTCTTCTCATGTTTGATTTCTTGGAAGAATGTTCATAAGATTGAAATAAAAACCTGACAACAGTGTTGTGCTGGTGCGTACTGGGGTGGCCGCTCTGTTCCCTACTGTGCAAAGGGAAGCCCCAAAGCCCTTCCTGAGGCAGAGGATTCATGTTGGGAACTCGCTTTGTACCTTCCCCTGAGCAGCAGCACTTTTCCAAGACACGTAACTGTATTAGGAAAATGAAGTGGAGAGCAGCCCAGCCCTGCTCCTGCGGTAATTGCCTCTCCGGGGCATTGAGTGCTGTTGGAACACTGCACGCAGCTGCGTTGGCAGAAATATAAAGGGGGAAGGGATCCCCCCATCTATCTCTTTTCCCAAAAGGCTTTTTCCTTTTATAATCTCTTTGCCTATAAATGCAGTTAATAAAGCTGTGTTATGGTTTGTGCCACCCTGGGCCCTGCATATGTGGGAGCAGGGAAGAGCAGCTGGGGAAATCTGGTGCTGGGAGGAGTTGGAGCAATTCCTGCATCTCCCCAGGGCGCATGCATGGACCCCCATTTGTGGTGGGGCTGGTTCTGAGCCCAGACCCACTGCACTACCCAGAGTTTTTTTGGGGGAAGTCCCAACTGCAGACCCACGGGTGGGCTGTGAGCAATGCCTATGACCAGAGCAGATGGGAGGGATGGAGAGAGACCCAGGCTCAGTGAGGCCATTGCTCTTGCTGGTCCCCTCCGGCTGCTGGGACAGCCTGTGCCTACCCACAGCTTCCTTCGAGGAGAAAGAAGCTCCCAACCTTGCTGCTCGGGTTGGAAGACTGGATGGGGGAGAGGAAACAGCTTTGGCCTCATCGAGAGGCCCTCTCTATGGGGGGCGGCTGTTTTCTGTGCCTGAATTAATCATGTTCTGCGACCTACCAGGAGGGAGAGACGCAGCCGGCTTTGATGGGGCTAATTAAAGCGAGTCCGCGCGGGGAGAGGCTGCGGCAGGGCGAGGAACCGGCTTTTGTCTGCAGCGCCGGCCCCGGCGGGTCCGTGGTGTTGTGCAGCTGGGAAACAGGTGGCAGAGGAGGGGAGTGGGTTCCAAAGGGGACAAGTGTCTGCTGCAGGCCTTTGCCTGAGCCTCTGGGATCCCAGGGCCGAGCCATCCACTCTCCAGAAAGGATGGGTAAAACGAGACAAGGATCCTCCTCTCCATGTCACAGGATAGTGGGAACAGGAGACCATCCCCACAGCTGGCTTGGGTGCCACCAAAGGAGCTGGAGCATGGCAGAGGTGGCTCTTGAGGACCAGTGATCCCAAGCACATTCCTTATTCCATCTGTAGGGCTTGTGGCCAGCACAAGCCCCATTCCCTGTGAATGGCTGGGGGGCAGCCACCCCCATTGTGGGTTTGTTCCACAGTGGCTGCAAGGGTCAGGTTTCCCTTCAGCAGGAGGGACAGTTCAGGCCCTCAGTCATGTGTCCCTGTCCCTGCTGTTTCTGCCCTAAGCGACAGGAAACATTAACATGCACGGCAGCACAGTAACACACCCCGTGTTAATTTTTATGGGGAGGCTGTGAGGAGTGGCTGGGGCTGGGTGTGCGGTCTTGGCACAGGCTCAGCCTCCCTCCTCCAGCAGCAGCACTTCCACTACACGTTTGAAGAGAGGCACTGGCTTATTGGTAATGGCTCAGGATCCCCAGAGAGTCCTTCAGGCCATCTGCCAGCCCGCCCAGCCCACAGCACCTGCCTGCATGCTCCCGATGGGATGGCAGAACCCCCGGCGTCGCTAATTACCCTGCAGCCGGTGCTACATCCCTTGGATCCTGGGTACAGGGAAGTCGTGTGTGTGGCCCAGCAGGAAAACAAAGCAGCCCCGTTATATGGAACTGGGAAAGGCACACCGGGCCCTCCCTGCTTGCTTTGCTCACCCCAGCACAAAGAAAGACACCCCCAAAACACCAGCACTGGGGGACTGGAGAGCCATTGACCCTCCTTCCACTTAGGCTGCACAGCATCAGCCTTTCCCTGCCAGATTTTTCTCAGCATTCTGAAATATTCTGGATTGCTTCCTGCTACTCCCCTGCACATTAAGCACCACATACTAGTGCCTCTTTCCCAGTGCCTGCCAGAGTGATGAAGGGACAGCCAGGTCAAACAGCTCCATGTCTCTCTGGCACAGCCACCCTCCACCTCAGCCTAGGGGAGGTTGTGTACAAGATCACATTCCATTTCTCAGTAGAGAATTTTCTTTAATGGTGCTGTTCCTTTGTTCATTGTAAATATATCTCTCTCCATATAGAGGCTTCCCCCAGTCCTGCAGGGATTCAAGACACAGTCCAGCAACGTGCTGACAAAAGCAGTAACAGCTCCTTCCTGCAGTCTCTTGAGCAGCCTCATGGCCTAATCCATGGGAGTATTTCTTGTGCTCACATACAGCAGGTGCTTAACAGCTGTAACCTTCACCACGCTCAGCTTTTCATCCTGAAAACACTCCTTCCATCTTATTTAAAGCAACAAAAAAGGGATGTGGTTGATTTCTCCATCTAGCGGGTTTATTTTACTAATCCAGAAATGCAGGGCCAGCACTGAGTTGCAGGAGGGACATCTGCCTTCTCAGGGCAAAGCCTTGCTTGGGAAGACTCAGAGCTCCCCCTTTCTCCCCTTTTTCTCTTCTTCCCTTTCTTTCCTTCTCTCCCCTCCCTCCCTCCCACAGCATCACCCCCTCCTCCACCCCAGAGCCCCTGTGTGACAGCCACAATGACATTTGTCTCCCCTGCTCTCCTTGGACCTTTCATTTGGCCCTTCAGGCTCTGATTGAAGCCATTTGTCCCAGGGCTGTTGGGGACAGACAATGCTTGTTTGGGGACAGTGGGGCACAGCCACCCATTTCACTCGAAGCGTGGTTTCATCCCAGGAAAACCTGTGTGCCAGGATTGCAGGTGTGAGGTGATTCACAGTTGTTTCCTGGGATCCTACAATAAATACAGAGCATGGCTGGTGATATGGTGACAGGGAGAGAGTCATGTGGCACTTCACAGCAGTGGGAAGAATCATCTGTGAAGCATTATATGGAAACATAGGTCAGAGGACACCATTCCCAGCATACGAGGAGACACTAGAAGCCCTGGAATAAAACCCAACAAAGGCAACTAGATGTAAAAATCACTTTTCTTTGTGTCAGGCTGTCTGGAGGGATTTGTCCCTGCCTGAGAATGTCTGAAGGCTTATGGGATGGATTGAAAACTGGTGGCAGTTCATGATAAACAGCATCTTTTGTGGGTCTGCATTTTCCAGTAGGATAATTATTTCCCTTTCCCAGCACACTGCTCATACCCATTTCTCTTTCCACAGAACATTGTGCTTTAATGACGCTTCATGTTTAATTCCCGAGATGCAATTTTGCCTTCACACCACAGACAAAGGCCCTTGAATCAGCAGAAAGGCCAGCGTGGGGACACCCCAGCAGCAGCACTGCCAGGCCAGCATGGGACACGGCCACCACGTCACCTCGAGGCACTGAGAATCATCCACTTTCTCTGTTCAGAGCACCATAGTTTTTGAGGAGGCCATTCCAGGGCTGCTGGTGGTAGTGGGATGCTTGGCACGGTGCAGGCGTGTGTCCTGGCCTTTGTCCTGCTGTGCAGAAAGGAGCTGGTGAGGTGTGAGGGCTGGGGGTTGGCAGGGGGCTGGACCTCACCCCATAGGTGATGGGCAGGCTTGCTGCCTCCTCTTCTGCCCAAAGCAGTGCGAGCACCAGCTCTGTGCCAGAGTTTTACAGAAACTATTGCTACAAACAGTAACTGATGGCAGAAATTGATCTGTAGGGAACAGCAGTCAGGTCCTGGCTGTGAGAAGGAGCTCAGCCTCACATCCAGTCCAAGCTGCAACCGACCATGGCACAGAAATCCCATGGCTGCCTTGACTGTGCCCCTGCCATGATGCTGGTGGCAGGATCCCATCCAGGAAGGTGCTGAGGAGCTGACAGGAGGTCCCAAAGGTCCCAAGACCATGCGGTCCCAGTGCTGGTGGTGGGGAACAACCCAGGCCAGGGCCATGCAGTCTGGTGGAATACCCCAAAGCCTCATCAGTCCGGTGCTGTTGGGTCAGAGCACCATTCAAGAAAGGTTCAAGGAGGTGAGAATGGTGGCTGAAGGCTGGTGTAGGTGAAGTTTCACCCAATGGTATCAGTGTTGGAGTGCAGGAAGGGGACCCCGTTTCTGCCAGTGGCGGGGGGTCCCTGGGGTTTGCACAGCTAGGAGCCGGGCCCCTCGGGGGGCTGGGGTGGGGGGCTCAGCTGGCTCTCGAGCAGCGCCCGCGTCCCTTCAGCTGATAACCTCCGCAGCCGCAGCCGTACCGAGCCATAGGTGCCACCGGTGCGGCGGGCGGCCCGGGCGCGGCGGCGAGCGGCGGCGGCGGCCAGCAGCAGGGCGGCGAGCAGGAGCCCGCCCAGGGCCAGCAGCGCCAGCCCGGCCACGGTGCAGCGGTCGAGGCGGGCGCGGAGCCGGGCTGCCCGAGCCTCCAGCCGCTCCATCTGCCGCGCCGGCACCGCGGGGTCGGGCCGCGCCGCCCGCGGAACGGCCCCCGCCAGCACCACCAGCGCCGCGCCGCCCAGGGCGCAGCCCAGCGCCAGCGCCAGCCCCGGGCCCGCCGGCACCGGCCCCCCCGCGCCCGCGCCAGCCCCCGCACCCGCGGCCGCCGCCTCGTCCGGGCTCCGCAGCTCCGCCGCCCGCGGGGACGCCATGGAACCGCCGCCGGCCTGCGCGGCCGAAGGTGAGCGAGCGGTCGAAGCGGGACGGGATGCTCCTCTGGGTCGGAGACGGGTCCCCGAACCGGGATGCTTCCCCAAACCACAGAGCCGAGCCCCGAGGGCGGGATGCTTCCCCTTCCCGGAGTCGCTTCCCCTGACCGGGCGACCAGCCCCACCCCGCAGGTCTCCGAACCGGGCTGCTCCGCCTCCTGGGATCTCTCTTAGCCGAACCGGGCAACCTTCGGAGATGAGACCCCGACCGGACTGTCCCCCTTCCCCGGAGACAACCCCCAAACCGGGCTGCTTCCCTTTCCTGAACCCGACACCTGCCTCTCCGAACCGAGTCGTCCCACCTGGCTCTCTCCCCTCCCAAACCAGTCTCCCACTGCGCGACCCACCTTCTCGAATCTGTCTGAAACTCCCTGTGGGGACCTGTGTCCCTGTGACTCCACTAAATTGCCCCTCACCGGGCCCTCCTCTCCCGCCGGGGTCTCTCTGTCCTCCCGTTCCCCGCTCCCGCACCGGGCTGCGGCCCCGCTCCGTGCACCGGGCTCCGCTCCCGCTTCTCCGCTCGGTCTGTCGTCCCCGCCGATGCCCGCACCGAGCTGCCCCGCTTCCCCTCCCGGTCCCCCGCGTCGGGCTGCCTACCCCCGCCGCCTCCCCGGCTCCCCGGGCAGGTGCCGGTGCCGCCGCGGGGCGGGCGGTGGGTGCCCCGAGCTGCGGTCGCGCACGGCCGCCGCACGCACACGCACACACACACACGTACGGGAGGCACACACATGCACTCACATGCACACGCCCGGGTGCACACCGGCACCTGCTGTGCACGTACCCTGGGCAGGAGAGACCCCTCTGTGCACCCCTCTCGACAGAGCCGGGACCCCCCGAGGGCTCCCCGGGAGACTGCGTGGGGAGGGGCTTTGGAGAGGACAGAGCAGCACGGGAGGTTTTGTGTGGGGTCTGCCTGGAGGACGTGCCCCCCACAACCAGCAGTCCCCTGTGGGACCCGAGCTGGAGCTGGGCTGGGGACACTGGGGCTGCAGCATGAGCATCCCTAGCGTCAAAGATAGCAGGGAGAGGTCCCATATGGATGTTGCCCAGCCTGTCCCAAATTCCCAGGGAAAGTGGGAGTTGACCTGGGTTTGGGCCAGGTATGATATGCCCCAGCCTGGGACAGAGGAGCTCCTGGCCCCTGCGGTTCCACCACAATCCTACTGCAGTCCCGTGGGATAATGCCCTCCTTCTCTCTCTCTCTCTTTCACACACGCAAGTTATTTATTCCACTTTTCTCAGAGCATTCATGTCAGTGCCTGCACTCTTCTTCTCCCTGACCTGGCACCAGACCCAGGCACGTGCCCCAGAAGTGACCTGCTGGCAGCCACACACTTTCCCTCGTTTGTTAATACGACGTGGTCTATTTCCACATTTGGAGCAGTGCCTGGAGATGTGGATATCATTCCCAAGCAATAGTGGGTGGGCTGCTGACAGCTGCTGGGAAGGTTTGTCCGTCACTTTGCCATTCTCTTCAACACCTTCACATGCTTCCAGCATCTCCACAAGCACACCCAGTGCTGTGGGTGCTGGGTGACCTCTGTACTGGGACTGCAGGGATGCCACCTGTGCCCTGCACCCTGTCCTCATCATGTCCTGAACCCTGTCCCCGCACACAGTGCATTCCTCTGCAGCTACACTGGGCTATGCGTTATCCATAGTGTCTGGGCACTGCTCTGTGTGGAGATGTCAGATGGGAGTCTCTTGCCACCTGTGTCACGACAGGGCAGGGAGTCAGATACAGCTAAAATGGGTAAAAATGGGTCAGAGAGTTTTAGAGCATGCCACACAAATAAAGAAGTGTGTTTGTGTTTCCTGAAGGGTGGACAGTGCAATACGATCCAGGCTCAGCACCTATCCAGGCAGTGTCTATCCATGATGCTGACTGGAACACTCAAGACCAGCACATGGCACCTCTCAGTGTTTGAGCTGCAGCAGGGGCATGGAGCTGCCATGGGAGGGGGCTTGGAACGAGATGATCTCTAAGGTGTCTTCCAACCCAAACCATTCTGTGACTTTGTGACTCTATGAAACACAGATGCTTCCCAGCAAAGTGTCCCCAGAGATGTAGCCAGAAGTGGGCTGAGAAAGAAGCAGAATTAAAAATAAATGGAAGTGCATCTTGACACGCTAACTACATTTAGAGAGTCTTTAGTACCAACCCACTCCGCAGGAAGGCAGGAGATGCTTGGAGACAAGTAGGTCATGGGACACAGATTGTCCCAAATCAGCAGGAAAAGATGGATTTGGAGCAGGCTGGCATATCACTGTGAACAGATGGGCAGGAGCAGATCTGCTGCCTCACCATCGCCAAATTCCCTGGGAAGACAGAACTGCCACCAGTTTGCTCCTGAGTAGAGCTGTGGTCAAGCCCTCTGTTCTGAAGCACCCAAGCCCTGTGGCTGTCCGTGCACCCAGGGATGCCAAGGCCAGGAGTCTGGCCAGGATGGGGATTTTTGGGGCAGAAGCCAGAGGCACTCATGCTGTGGCTCCCACCTGCCTTCACACAGGGACAGGGCAGAGCCTGCCATGGGGTCACGGCTCCATGCTGCCCGGGGGGGCTGCTCCTGCACCCCAATCCCACAGCAATGCTCGAGAGGCCATCTGTGAGGGATGAGGGGGAGGGATGTGTCCTGCTGGCAATTGCTGCTTGCATTGTGTTGCTCCAGGATTCCACTGCCATTGCTGGATGGGAGCTGGAGAGGACCCTAGGCCTTTGAAGGGACCTTGAGGTAGCCCAAACACCTTCCCCAGCCCGATCCTGAGTGGGTGAGCATGAGGATGGGGACTGGCAAAGGCCACTCCATCCCCAAGGTGCTGGCACTAAGAGAAGAGGAGGAGAAACTGAGACAGTCAAGATCTGTGCTGCCAGTGCAGGAGTAAAGAGAGGAGGGAGACAGCCAAGGTCAGAAGGAGCACTGCCAAAATTCACAATGAAACTGCAGGAGTGCTGGAGGGGAGAGACAGACAACTTGGAAAGAAAGGGAAAGAGGAGGGAGGGAAGGAGTCTGGGAGATGGAATAGGGTGAAGGAGCCAGACAGGGAACCAGGGATGGGAACATGTCACTCTGCAGACTAAATGATTGAACATGGATGAGAGGGACAGCAAATGGGAGCCTCAGGCAGGCAAAAGAGGACAGCAGGAGCAGGAATGTGATGGAGCTAGACAGGCTGTGGACCTGGCTCTGTTCCCTAATACAGCCCTGTGCAGTACAGCTCAATTTTGGGGAGTGCACAGCTGTCTGGTGCCCACTGGCAGTGCTGACCCCTATTCAGCCTCACTACCGAGGTGAAGTTTAATTCCTGCCTCCTTAGCATTCACAGCATCCCATAGCAGAGTGAGCGCTCGCAGCCAGCACAGCTCAAGGTGACTCAGAGGTCAGGGAAAAATCAGCCAGGCAACTCAGGAGTTGGCTCTACATCACCAAGAGATCCAGCAATTTGGGAGGACCAGAGATGTCCAGCACATCACAGCCTCCCTGCCTGTCACTGCCAGTCCCTGTGTACCCCAGACACAACATCCCAGTCCTCCCCGTGGATTGGGGGTGGGGAGCGGGGTGGTTCTGATCCAGGAATCTGCTCCTGGGAGCTGTTGCCACCAGCAAGGCACGCAGGGCTGGACATGAGCCTTGGTGCTGGGGAGGACTGGAGATGCACAGTGGGCATGAGTGAGGGTGGTTCCCCTCTTGCAGGGCATGGAGCTCCCAGACAGGTTTGGTGCCCTGGAAGAGCAGTGGATCCTGCTCTGGGGCTCGTGGGAGGTTCCTCCAAGTCCTTGCTGGGGATACACCACTCCAAGGATGGTTTATAGCAAAAATCCCTCTCCTTCCCCAAATGTCTGAGCCCCAGCCCAAAGGCAGCTGGAGGGCTGGAGCCCTGCTTGCCACTATGACCAGATGCAGAGCAGTACAGGGATGAGGCTCAGCACTTTCTTGGCGATAATTAAGATCTTGTTATCTTCAGCTAACACCAGGGAGACAGGGAAAACCTCAGGTGCCTTGTGATATGGCAACAGCTGATGCTCCGGGCTGTGCCTGGGAGCAACGGGAGCCTCGCTTCTTCTGCCTGAATATAAAGCATGGAAAGCACGAAGCAGAGGGTGACAAATTATTTTTTTCCTGGCTGGTGACACCTAAGTGTGCAAACATACTGTCTTCTCTCAGGGGTGGCTGGAGCTGACACCGATGGATGGCTGTGCACCTCTCGCTTTCCCCTCCTGCACAGAGGTCCAATCTGAGGTTCTGTTTTTTTGTTTGGCTTTTTTGTTTTCTTCTGCAAATTTCCTTCACCGAGGGAGTTTTCTCAGACGTGTCTGGAGCCACGCAGGAGCTGCTCACCTGCAGAGAAAGAGATGGGGCGGTGTCTGCAAGCGGGCTCTTAGAACGTCAAGCGTGAAAGCGATTGGGAGGAGAAGGGGAGGGGAAGAAAAGAGGGGAAGGGAGGAGAGGAAGAAGGACAGATGGATGGGGAGAGTGAGGTTGCTCTCCACTCTCATGAACCCAAAATGAGGGGTGCTACAACATGTTCCCGGGCACGTGTGGGTATTGCTGGCGAGCCCCAGGAAGGAGGGGGCATTTCCAGCGGCAGGAGGGCTCCGTGGCTGTGCGGAGCTGTGGCGGCTGGGCGCGGATTTTCGGCCGGCGCTGCCCGCACCGGCTCCGAGGGCGGGCTCGGTGTGGGGAACCCCCGCGGCGCCTTCCCGCGCTCGGCTGAGGCCTGAGGAGGGTCCGCCCGCCCCGCCGAGCCCCTCCGCGCCTGCGGATCCCCTCGGTCCCGCAGAGCCGAGCGGGGCTCCTCATCCCCCCGAGCCCCTCCGCGCCTGCGGATCCCCTCG